CTTCTGACTTTTATGGGCACTAAGCAGGGCATGATTCAGAGACATATATGCAGGCAGAATACTCACACATAAAATGAGTAAGTCTAATGAAAATTTTTTTTTTTTTTTTTTTTTTTTTGGTTTTTCGAGACAGGGTTTCTCTGTGTAGCTTTACGCCTTTCCTGGGACTCACTTGGTAGCCCAGGCTGGCCTCGAACTCACAGAGATCCGCCTGGCTCTGCCTCCCGAGTGCTGGGATTAAAGGCGTGCGCCACCACCGCCCGGCTTAATGAAAATATTTTTAAAGTAGAAATGTAGATTACATATAGTAAGTACATTCCGCCCCTCCTTTTTTTTTTTCTACCTTTTAGGAATGTACCATGACAAAGCCAGGACTGTCTGACTCTGGACCTTTTATCACTGATGTTGCTTTTCCTTGATGACATGTTCAAACTCTATCCTGCTCATGGAAAGATAAAGGTCTTAGATCCGATTCCCCAATTTACAGGCTTTCAGCACGACTTTCCCCCTCTCTGCCAGCATCTCCACCTCAGGATTCCTATGAAGTCTTCACTCCCTCCTCATCCTTCCCCCTGCCCTCCCCTTAGTGTCTGTCACTTTCTGAGGATGCCTTGGCCAGCACAGCCAGTCTTTTCTTGTTCTCTACAAAAAGGGATCAGCTGTAGGGTTCCAGACATAAAAGGCCTCAACCAAACAAAACACAGGCATTGATGGGGAAATAAAAGATCCAGGAAATAAATTCTGGGAGAGGAAGGAGCACAAAGGGTCTTTTATAATAAAACAGTATATGAAGAATGAGGAGAGGCTTGGCAGAGGAGAGAGATTGGTCCTGAACATTTATATAACACACTTGTATAATGTGCACGATTACATTCAAGCCATACAGAAACAAGGTGAATCCAATATATAATATGACAAGATTTTTTTAACTAACAGCAAAGATGAACAGAAGTCTTGGATGGGGTGTGATCGGGAGTGCCAGGTCCTGCCTTCTACTCTATGTGGCAGCCAACGGCATCCTGTGCCGCTTCAGTGACTTACAAAGCACCTAAAGCAGACTCTACCTGGGATAGGTCTGCAAATGGTGCCCAGGGCTGCTTTCTAATCTCAACTACTGGGGAAGGGTGATCTGGGAAAGCTCCTGAGCACTTCCTCAGATAGGCATATTAATATTAATGATTAGTATTACTATTGTAAGTGGTCTCTAAAGCCCTTACAATCCTGTTTTGGAGACATAAGCTGATCAAGAAAAAGTGCCTAGAACCCCCCTGGACTCTGTTACAGTCTCTCATGATTCCTTCTGTGCACATAAAGAACTACTGTTCACACCTGAATAGGTTACATTTATGCTAAATTAATAAATACATATTTGAGGGAAAACCTCCAATTTTTTAAAATCCTGTTTTGTCAGCAATGAAATGCCCCTTTCACTTTACCATCCACAAAGATAACAAACTAATTTCTAAAGTACCTGACAGTGTAAACGGCTGAAAACTCTAACAATGTGACTAGAGCCAGAAGGGGATGAGGGGCCTGCGGCTAGTGGCTGCTTTTGGAAACTACACATTCACAGAAAAAATGTGGCCAATTAAGTAATTTGCTTAGTGAATAAAAATTATACACTCTCAGTGTATACTGCACACGCCAATGCCACGAAATAGCAGCGACACTATTTTAAGCTCGTGAAACATCTCTAGTTCCAGATGTCTTCCCATCAGTGTGTGACTAAATTCTTGGGCCACTTTCTTGCCAAGATTCTTTACAAATATTTTGTCACCTCTGATGAGGACAAGGCCAACAACACACTTGGAGCACACAATTTTGCAGTGGTAGCATTATTAATCTTTGTTGGGTACACAGCTTTTTGAGATCCATGTACAGTTAGCAGTTACCTACCTTGTCCTGTGTGCCCAAGCACGTTCTAACATGCCACAGATAGTAATTCTCAAAACAAGGAGCTTAGAAGGAACAGTGGAGACATGGAACTTCATCTAGCCTTTACTCAGCAATGATCAGCTTTTATCTACAATGTCCACACGCAGCCATAAGAATATCGAAGTAGATGATAAACCGAAATAAATGTCCTACAGCTAGTCCACCCCCCCCCATCTAAACGCACTTCCTATCTGTAGAAGACAAATGCTGTTCCCCGTCTAATTGTCAGATGCTCAAGTGATTCAAATATTGTCTGTGAATGAAGTTCAGAAGGAAGGGTACATTAATACCTTTCTTTTATTGGACAGAGCTAGCTCATTCTCCCTAATGCCAAGAAAAAGTGGGTTAAATTAGGCCACAAAAACCTAAATGGCCAACAGATAGACATTACCATCACACTAAGGAGGTCCTTGTTGAATGCTTTCTTTTAAAAACCTCTCATTACCATCATTCAGCTTCCCCAAGGGTAAAGAAGGGAACACACAATGGGAAAGAGCTGGATATTATTGTTAAGCTCCATTATTTGAGGAAAGGAGGAGACCACCAAACTGGGCATGAACTCTCCCCCAAAGGTGTGAAAATGTATATAGTACACAGACACTCAGGACACCAGTTACAGGGGAGACATGTCACCATGTGAGACATGGACACTTATCAGGACACCAGAAAGACTGCTTTTGTGCTTTCACTCTATACTATAAGATGAACACCCACAGGGTTGAGCACTGTAAAGAGCTGATCAGAAAATACTAAAATTAAAGTTTTTTTCTATACTAATTAACAAGTAATTTATCAGTCATAATTGGCCAAATAATAATTGCTTTAGGAAAGAAAACTGGAGAGGCCTAAGTCCACGTGACCTTCAGGTTTATAACATGACTTATATAACCCACGATGTTGTCTTCTCTTCTCCAACCGGCACGAATCACACCTAATTAATACAGCACCTTTGGTTCACTGTGACTCGGAGGATGAAGTCCAAACTCAGCACCACGCATCAGCAGCCCTCACACACCTCACCTCTGCAGGGGTCAAATCCAAACCCATACTGGATGTCTGAACTCCAGAGATGCACCCTTCAATTCTTCAACTGCTCTGCAGTTTCACACCTGTGTTTCCCTGGATACGCTGGCCCCAACTGAGAGGAACCCCTTTCCCTAACACCCCTGCTTCCTCTGCCTGACTAAAGCCAACCTCTGGACTCAGTTTTACATCCTGAAACTTCTCAGATATGGCGTCGTGTTCCCTCACTGACTAAAGAGATGCTCGCTGCATCACTTTCTAGCTGAGTGACCTTGGTCAGGTCATTAATTGCACTGGGGCTACTTTCTCATATGCGGAAAGTCAGTATCAGTTTGCTGTCACAGTGCAATGACTACTGTCAAAATTACTTTGTGAACAATAAGGCATTAAAACGTGTAAGCATAGCCGGGCGGTGGTGGCGCACGCCTTTAATCCCAGAACTCGGGAGGCAGAGCCAGGCGGATCTCTATGAGTTCGAGGCCAGCCTGGTCTACAGAGCCAGCTCCAGGACAGGAATCAAAACTACACAGAGAAACCCTGTCTCAAAAACAAAATCAAAAACGTGTAAGCATAATCCATGCACTGGAAGTCTAAGCTAAGGGTGAGGCTTAGCTTCTAGTTCCCAGTTCCCCTTGGAGGAAGCTCTGCATTCTCATCCTTCTTTCTAAGTCCACTAGGTTCTGTCTGCAGAAAAGACCTGCGGTGATGTCTGGATCATTAGAGAGAAAGAGAGTGATGTCTGGATCATTAGAGAGAAAGAGAGAAACAGAGAGACACACAGAGAGGGCCTCTGATAGATATGGATTTTCCTAATAATGTGCACAGGAGCACTGTGCTTGCAGATTCACTAAGTAAATATGCAAATCAATGAATGAATGCAAGGGCTCCTTGTCCTCAGTGAGCTTATAATCAAGAGATGACATAACAGAGTCCACGAGTCTCGTCTTAAAAAAAAAGTAACAAATGCCTTTATTGTCATCAAGAGTAACAAGAAATTTCTGCTATGCTAATTTTACCTGATTTGGCATGTTGTTGAATTTGCCATGTTGGTAACTTGCACTTAATGTATGCATGCTTTGACATTATCAAATTACTGGTGCAATTCAATGCCAATACCAAGTCATTGAATACCTATTGCGCTAGGTTTTATGAACACAAAGATAAAGGTGGTGGACTCTCTGCTCAGAAGTCACTAACTACATTGAAAGGAAGCTCAGCCATCAATACACATTATTAACATGTCAGAATAAAGTAAGATGTATGGAGGGCCAAAAGATCGGGAAGGGCATCTGAGGTAAGGCACTAAACCCCATAAAGTTAATACTGTATGTTACAAATTATTGATGGCCAACAGCTTGTTATTATTATATATCACATATATGTGATTATATTAATTACATTACCATATTAATATATGCTGCATGCTAAGGCAGATAGTCCCAGGTTAAGAAGCAAAAGTATATAGAGAGGACCCAAGAGATACACAAGCATTCCACACAGAGGGCACGGACCCACTTCCCAGAGGCGTTTCCTGCGGTTCTTTCCTCTTCTGCCAATACAACCAAGGGAATAACACACGGAGGTCTCCTCTCCCGCCAGGACTTTTCTCTCCCCGGGTCTCTAAACTAAACTGTTGATTCTCAAGCAGACACTCTCAAACCTCCCCACTCACTCCAGGACATGTTGTTTAAATCTTCAGGAGACATGAGACCAAATCAGATATCCAGGTGGACACTAGTAGAAATTAAAGCTACCGGATTGGGGATCCGCTCCTGGATCCCCTCCAGGGGATGGCAGCAGCACTCGGCTCACCCAGGAGGCGCCATCCCCGGCGGAATCCTCCTCTCCTGACCACCCCCACCACCCCCCCTCCCGGCAGCTTGGGCGCTGCCATCTGCTCTTTTACCCTTCACCTGCCGACGCACCCCGCACAATCTGCATCCTAACCCGACCAGCGGTAAGCAGGCATCGCGGGGGCACCCAAGCCCCCTAACCCGGCCCCGCGCGCGCCGTACCCGGCCCGCCCCTAGCCAGCCACTTACGGTTCCAGTACACCGGGTAGCACTCTCCTTGAGTGACGTCCACCTCGTAGAGGCCGCCGCGCACGCACACCGGCTCGATGGTCACCAGCTCCTCCATCTCGGGCTCGGGCCCCGCTGCCCGCGGGCAGAAGCCGCAGGCGCGGTCCTCGTCGTCTTCCTCCCCGGAGCTGGAGGCCTGGCCGCCCACCGGGTCTCCATCGCGGCCCTCCACCCCGGTACGGGAGCCCGTGGTCTGCAGCAGGGTCCGGAAGGCGAGCTCGATGCGCAGGGAGTCGTAGCCGATGAAGGGTTTCCAGGTCTTCTTGTCCTCCTTGTAGAACCAGCGTACCTCCTCGGGGCCCAGCTCCGTCACCACCTCGTAGCGGTGCCGGGCAGCGGCGCTGCCGGCCCGGGCGCGCTTCCTGTCCCCGGGGCCCCCTCCCGCCGCCCCACCGCCCCCCGAGTTCGGGGCGACCAGCGGCGGCGGAGGCGAAGAAGAGCTGCCGCCGCCCGCGCTCTCGCCCTCGCTGTAGTAGCGCAGCGACGACCCCGACTCGGCCGAGCTGAAGTCGTAGGTCGCGTCGCTGAGGCACGGGTCCAGAGCAAGGTGGCTCAGGTCGTCGGTGCCCGGCGCCAGGTGCAGCGGCTCCGCGCGCAGCAACGCCAGCGGCACGCCGTCTCCCGGCTGGTGCTCGAAGCAGCAGCCGCCGCCGCCGCCGAACGTGCCCGCCGCGTCCGAGCCCAGCTCCCTGGCGCCGCCGCCGCGGCCGTTACGCTCGGGGCTCCGCGGGGCGCCGCGGCCCGGGTAGTTCATGCCGCCGGCGCTTCCGCCACACGCGCATCCGATGCCGCCGCCCTCTCTCGGCCCGGACTTTATAATCTTTCAAATCCCGAGCTGGCTGGCCAGCAGCTGCCGCCGAGGGGACTCCGCCTCCCCGCAGGCCCCCGGGCCGCCGCAGCGCCGTTCCGAGGACCGCCCCCATTGTTACGCAGCCCGCGCGTGGGCGGGGCCCGGGCGAGGCCCCGCCTCCCCCAGCCGCGCGCGCCACCCCGGAAGGCCCGAAGCTGCTGGTTTAGCGCGCGCTCGGCGGCGGGATCTAGTGTCACCGCCCCGAGCCGGGGGGGATCGGATGGGGTCGCTGTCATCCTCGACTTCAGTGCAGCTCCCTCCCCCCCCCCCCCCCCCCCCCGTCACGGCTCTCGGCGCCCGGCGTGGCTTCTCCCCCTCGCTCCCACGCCCCCAGATGCCAGCTGGAATGAGACTCTCTCCCACTCATCTTTACACATTCGGGTCATGAGCCCAGAGGCTGATTCAGCTCTATGCCCAGAGGGGCCCTGGAAGTTGCTCGCTCACGTTCCAGGCTTTAGGCCCGCTTGCAGCTTCCGCTGGACCTGCTCGGCCACCTGGCCTGGCCCTCTCCCAACCTTCAGCCCAGACCTAAGAAGGCACCCCCACCCTATGCCTGCTGCTCACCTGGGCAACACTACTCCCACTTAGAAAAAAAGAGTCCCAGCCTCCCCCTGTGCCAGCTCTTAGGATTGCTTACGCTCTTGTACTTACATTTTCTGTTCTTTCCGTATTACAGTAAGGCCTTGGATAGAAACCAAGTCCCTGTGTCTCGGTCTTTTCCCACATCGGTTCATATTTGACGGTCCTCAGTTATACCGATGGCAATGCCAGCCAGGTGTGATAGATTATTAGATTGAAAGAAAAATTATCGAGATTCTAGGTTCAGCTTTGCCACCCTCAAGCAAGTCACTTGATCTGTTTGGCTTGCTTGTTGGTATAATCAGGATATCATTGGACCGGATGGTCTCTCTCTAGTAACGCCTAGTAGTGATTCTAGGATCTTTAAGCATTCACAGGGTTGGTTTTGTTTTTATTTGTTTATTGTGTGCCGCTGATTCTGTAACTTACTTCCTGGGATCAGGGAAATACTGAGGCTCCCTTCTGTTAGATTTCTGAGACAGCTTAAAGAGACAGAAGGCAGAAAGAGACCAGAATCTGACCTCAACAGACTGAACACTTACAGGGAAGGACAGACACTCTCCTGAGGGAAGGGGTGTCTTGAAAGGGGAAAGGCTAGCTGGGGCCCTTTACAGAGGCAGGTGGGAGGCTTGGGAATGAGGAAGTTCTTGCAGCCATAGCGGACTTTGTGTGGGTCTGTAATCTGTCTTTCTTGGAATTGTCAGTTTCAGGCAAGAGAGCTGCTATCTTGGGAGATACGCTGTCCCCAGCAGACATTCTCTGGACTGTGGCTGACGGATGAGGTTGGTCAGGGTCAGCTGTAACCTCGTAGGAATCCTGTTTTATAGCTGAGGCACTCTATCACCTCAGACAATTCTTTTAATTGAGAAGTATTTATTTTTTAAGCCCATCCTCTGTCGACAATCCCTGGAAAACAATCTCCAACCTTGTTCTTAGTTCACGAATAGACCATCTCCACTGTTACATTGACCTTGTGGAATCCGGTCAGCAGGGCACGTTGTCTTGCTCTTAGGATGTAACTGTCAGAGAGAATTCAAAATCATTCTTGAACTCAGGCTCATCTCTCCTGCGCACAGTGCTTCTGTAGGGATCTGTAAGAAGGCCCTGTTTTCTATGGGCACATGTGGAGTGATACTGTGGCTCACGGTGAGGAACATGGGCTGAATTTTCTACTGTAACTTGCACATTTGGCTGGATAATCTTGCCCTGTGAACAGTCTGTCCGTTTGTACATTATAGCCCCAATAACAAAGCATCCATACTGTCAGAGTACCTGTATCCCAAATTCTCTTTGAATGTTTCTATTGGTAGTATGCAGAATAAGAAATTGGGTATGAACTCTGAATTGTTTGCTATTCATGAAGGCATTAGTTCCACACTGCTCTGTTATCGATGTACAGGCACCTCTGTGTTAGCTTCTGATGCAAAAGAGAACCAAGAACCTAGAGCTTGCTGGGCGGTGGTTGTGCACACCTTCGATCACAGCACTCAGGAGGCAGAGGCAGGTGGATCTCTGTGAGTTTGAGGCCAGCCTGGTCTACAGAATGAGTTCCAGGACAGCCAGGGCTATGCAGAGAAACCCTGTCTCAAAAACACACACACAAAAAAAACCCAAACAAACCAAAAACCAAAAAACCTATTGCTTAGTGGGGGAACCTTGATAAATAAACACAGACATTATATTAAAGTGTAATTAAAAGTAGTAGACATTATGACATTTAAAATACCTTCCTGTTTCTTGACAGGATATAGCTCAAATATTTACATGTTAATGGTCAGATTTATTTACTTATTTATTTTTAGCAGTTTTATCTCTTAAGGATGACATCATTTCCATCAATAAATATCATTGCCTGCTGTTTCTTTTTGATTGTTTTGTTTTTTGTTTTTTGAAATGGGGGTTTTTCTGCGTAGCCCTGGCTGTCCTGGAACTTGCTTTATGGACCAGGCTGGCCTCAAACTCAGAGATCTACCTGTCTCTGCTAGGATTACAGGCCACCACATCTGCTCTCGTCTGTTTTTTAAAAAGGACTCTTTGCCTTGTACTGAGCGAATGTTTTTATTGTTTGTGTGCTGATTCAGGCTACACAGCTAGGTTGCATAATCCTTCCTGAAGTAAGTGTTGATTTCTCATTGCCATCCAGGTAGCAAGAAAAAGGGGTTGTAGACTCTCTCCTGACTTCAGGGTGCATTGGTGAGAGATGTCAGTCCGTATTTGTGGGAATTGAGCTCACTGCTTCCCATGGACTAGAACAGCTTGCACTAGGTGAGAGGCTGACAGTGAGCAAAAGGCATTTGAAGATAGCAAATTGCATGTGTCTGCACGTGTTCCTTTCCTTTTTATTCCCTAGCCATAGCAAGTCAAAGGTTTGGAAGCACCTCTTCTCAACCTTCTTTTCTGCTTTAAACGGTCATTCCTAGCTAAGACTTCCTGCTAGAATCTTTTTGCTCCCTAGAACATTTTTTTTTCAGGTTATATGTTCCTCTCAGGTGGGTAAGGGGTCTGGCATGCCTTCCATTCCTCACCAGCAAGAAGAGGAGTCAAGTAGCTCCTCATCCCTGCACATCATTACGAGGCTAATGGACGTGGCACTCTCTGACCTGCCAAGGCATTATGCAACACATCCTATTGCATTTTAATAATTACCCAACCAAGCCTCTTTTTCCATAAGGAAATTAGGTATGACTGATTCAAACATCTGGCATTTGTGGGCCTGCGCTGCTGTAAGAGCCAGGTGGTTTTTAGAACCAAGCCCAGGGGAGCCTCAGTATGGGGAGGGAAATTAGCTTTTTATATACTACAAAAGAAAAACAGCGCAGTGCATCAGTTCATCCTACCACTTTCCTTCCCATAATGCACCTGGCAAGGGTTATCTGGCAAGAAAGACCACCTTCCTCTTCCTTCTTCTCAGAAGTTACAGGGCTCCATTTCCTGTCAGTCTTGCTTCTCTTTTTCACTTGAATCTGCTTTCACCTGTAGAAAATACGAGGCTAGCCTTATGCCATATACGTTATTTTGAGCTAGTACCCTACACTCACACTGAAATGGCTTCATCCAGACATGTGATGGAGCATGTGTAGAATGAAACCCAAGCGATCTGCGGTATCTCCTGCTTACTACGCTGTCTACATTTGAACTTTACTCTTTAAAACTGGCATTTTTCCATTTCTTAAAGTAAGGGTGTGTTTTAGGACCCTGACTAAATTCAACCACATTCTAGACTTAGAGAACAGTCACAGACACATCAGGTGTCCCCCAAGTTCCAGGCCCTCTGCTAAGCTCTACAGCAGTGGTTTTCAACCTATGGGTTGTGACCCCTTTGGGGGTTGAGTGACACTTTCACAGGGGTCACATATCAGACAGCCTGCATATCAAATATTTACATTACAATTCATAACAGTAGCAAAATTACAGTTCTGAAGTAGCAACAAAAATAATTTTATGGTTGGGGGTCACAGCAACACGAGGAACTGTATGAAACGTCATAACATTAGGTATCTCCCAATAAAAACATAGAGGTAGGACTGGAGAGATGGCCCATCCATTAGGAGCACTTACTGCTCTTTCAGAGGACTGGAGTTTGATTCCCAGCATCCCCATCGGGTGGCTCACACCCACCTGTAACTCCAACTCCAGGGAATCTGATTCCTTCCTCTGCCTTTTGTGTGCACATGCACACAGAAACACACATACATAAAAATAAAAGAATCTTTAAAAAAATTATTTTTTTTATGTGCATTGGTGTTTTGACTGCATGTATGTCTGTGTGAGGGTGTCAGATCTTGGAGTTACAGACCGTTGTGAGCTGCCAAGGGAGTGCTGGAAATTGAACCTGGATCTCCTGGAAGAGCAGTCAGTGCTCTTAACGGCTGAGCCATTTCTCCAGCCCAAAGTAAAATAATCTTTAAAAATGCTCAAGTTAAACAAAACAAAATACAGTGACAACTTTTTAACTCCTAAGAGGAATGTGACTGTAAGGTAAGGACGGTGGTGTGACTACACAGAGCCATTCTCTCTAAAGACAGATCAATAGAGGAAACCAAACTGCAGCTGAAGTGACCTGGAAATACATAATGAATAAAGTCTTTCATTCTTCCATCTAGTCAATCAACAAGTATTTGTCTAGCAGTATTAAATATGTTGTTTTTATTTTTTTAAGTATATACAACTGGAATAAGTGTAGGATTCTGAAATGCATTTGCTTACGAATTTGTTAAAGGTCTAGCCACCAAACTATAAACCCCACAAAAATACTTCAAACCCCATAAAACAGAAGTGTTCTTTCTGCAAATAAAAGCTGATTCTATTGAAGATAAATGTAGTTTAATTATAGAAATAAAAAATCAATACAATATTTGATGTATATATAGCATGGGGCACCCACAAAATACTCCTTGACTTTTTTTTTTCAGTACAGAAAAGGGAGATTTCAGTATTAAAACAT